CCGCCTCTGCCTCTGCCGGTGCCCAATACCTGTCCCCACATGTGCTTGCTTTTCTCTTTCTTCTTGCTTGCAGCCCCCCAGCTCCCGCCCCTCCTGCACCTGCCTCAGGCTTTCCCCATCCGCAACAGTCCTCTCCACGTGTTTCCCACGCACCCCACTTCCGTGCCCTCCTCCCCGTCCCCCTTGTTCCTTAGCCTTCTGCCCCACGCCTCCTGCTCCTTTTCGGCTTCTGCCTGCCGCCTGGGATGCTACTGGACCCCTGCCTTCTCCGCATTCGTTCACCGGTCCGTCCGTCCATCCATCCATCCATCCTCCCTTCCTCCCTTCTGTCCATCCACCCATGCCTCCAACCCACCGTCCTTCCTGGGCCTCTTGCCGTACCTCTTGGCTCTCTTCCCCGAACCCCACCTTCTCCAGTCCCCTGGGTGCCTTTGGTGATCGCGCTGGCAGCCCCCTTCTCCTGATCTTTGTGTCCTGGGCCCCAGGGAGCACCTGGCCTCGTGGCCTTTGAGGTGACAGCAGGCATCACGCCCCTGAAGAAGTTTACAAGTAAGAAGAGGCGTTGGAGGAGGGCCGCTCCGAGGGGCCTCTGATGACACTTGTTCTCCTCTGAGACCGGACTCCCTGCTCAGTTCTGTCCAGCACTGCATTTTCACCCACTTGAGAGTGGGGGCTGCCCCTGTCTCCCACATGCCTAACCCACCACCCCTCATATCCGGAGATTATATAAGGCTGTCAGCGGTCTTCTCCACCTCGAAAGGGACAATTCTGTCAGTAGGCATGGGAAGCAGACATACGCGGGAGCCCTGGCCACCGGGACTGCCCCGTGCTGGGTGGGCAAGGATGGGGCCATTGTCAGGGTCTGGGTGCATTGAGAACCGGAAATGGAATCAGCCGGTTTGGTGACTCAGAATTGATTTTTTTTTTCCAAGGGACAGGGAGGGGGCGTAGAGGAGGGAGGGGAGAGGAGTCAGGTAGGGGGATGGGGCAGGAGCTGCTTTGCACAACTAAGATCCACCCAGAAAGTGAGAGGTACAAGGGCAGCCCTTGCCCAAAACCCCCAAAGAGGGAAGGGGCTCGCATCACCGACCAAGGGGACTTGGAAGATGCCAGAGGCCCCAGGACATCAGCTTCTCTGCTCTGTGGCCATCCTCCCCGTGCAGGACCCGAGAAGCTGGGTGTAGCTTTGACAGTGCCATGGTAACCCAGGTGGAACAAGATTGAGTTGGTGGGGATGGGGACCTGGGAGAGCTTCTGTTAGGGATGCCACGGAGTAGCAGAAAGGACCCATCTGAGAAATCTCAAGAAGGGACCCGGAGATCTATAGGAAAATACGTTCAGGACTATTTCCCATCTAAGTGGGGAAGATACTGACTCACAGTCATGCAAGCATTTGGCCGTGGGACCCTGAACCTCGCCTTGGAGTCTGTAGGAAAGGTGGCTGGATGCCTCCTAATGGCACCAGTTCCCTCCAGAGTAGCAGGTGGAGGAAGCATGAGCCACTGCAGGCTCCCCGAGTGGTGCTGAGCGTCCGGATCTCGTCAGGGAGTGTGGCTTCCTACTGCCCCGCTGCAGGCTGCAGGCCCCGGGCGGGTAGGAGATAGAGGGGGCTGCTGGGAAGGAGGTGGTCCTTCTGAGCTGTGTTTCTCCTCCAGGGGCTGAGCTGGAGGAGACTAACAAAAGCACGAAGAAGTTGGATGCCATGACCCTCATTAAAGAAGGTGGGAGTCAGGACCACCTTGCCCTCTGCCCCACCTCCCAGGAGGTGGCTGTTTGGTGGGCGGGCGGCAGGTCTGGGATCCTCTCTCTGACAGGTCTGAGTGGCCCATGAGCCTGGCTGCTGGCACCTGTCCTAGGAGATCCTAATCATAGGGGACGATGCCTACTCACCCGGAAGCCCACATTCTCAGGGACTGCTTCGATTGAACTCTGGAAGCTGGGAGCCTCCAGCAGGAAGCCGGTCATGTCTACAGGGAGGGGCAGTGCTCCCCGATCTCACAGGGAAGCCCTGGGGTCCCCAGCCCCAGTGATGAGGGTTTCTGTCATTGCAGACATGTCCATCTTCGGGCACTGCCCGGCCTACGACGACTTCTATCTGGTTGTGTGTAACCACTGCAGCCAAGTGGTGAAGCCTCAAGCTTTCCAGAAGCACTGCGGTGAGGGAGCCCTGGGGCGGAGCCGCGGGCGGGGAGGGTGGAAGGGAACCCCCAGGACAGGGTCAGCTGGGAGGCCTGAGTGTGAGGGAGGGCGGCCTTGGGGATAGGGAGGTCCTGGGGGTGGCTGCATAGATGGAGGCAGGTTGTTGGGGTTAGCGTTTGAGCAAAACTCCCAGCAGTTCTTTCTAGTGGAGTGTAGGGAGAAGAGCTAAGAGATCCGGGAAGCTGGGCCCTAGAATGTGGAGTCTTGAAGGCTCAGGTTCCGAGGGGGAGGAGGCCTGTTAGAAATCTAAACTCCAGATTCTCTGTGTGAGTCTGTGAGCAGGGTGAGCAGGTCGGGAAGGAGGCAGTCAGTTACTCACCTCCGTTGCTCTCTCCACCTCCTGGTGACAGAAAGAAGACATGGGCCCCTCAGCAAGCTTTACGCCCGGGCCCCACCCCCACCTCCAGCCCCTGCCAGCTCTCAGAAATGCCATGTAGTGAATGGGCAGGGCCCCGCTTGTAGGGCCCCAGGTTCCACCAAAACCTCCTCCAGGGAGAAGGGCCAGGGGTCCCGGAGCCGTGGCCACCCACCACCCGAGAAGAGCCAGAAGGACAGCCTCTGGTAAGGAGAGGCTGGAGACGTCCCGGGACCCTGGCCCAGTCCGGGGAGGGGCTGCCAGATGGGGCAACGGGGGGCGATGGGGGACCATGGGCACCGTTCGCAGCAGGGGGCAGCCAGCTCCGTCGGCAGCCCCTCCCAGGTGCTCCGGGGAATAGGAGTCCCCCCTCCCATGTTCTGCATCCCTGCTGGAGCCCACCCAAGTTCCAGGGCTGGGAAGTGTTTGGCTCTGGGCTAGAGCCCAGGCCCCAGGCCCCAGGCCCAGCCTCCCTGCCCCCGTCCACACCCTCTCTCCATGTGCAGCCTGTTCGTGCCTGTGGTGAATCTGGAGAAGATGTCTGGTCTCCCGAAGCCCGACGGCCCCGGCGTCAGGGTGGCCCCGCCCTCCGCCTTCCTCAGCCAGCCCGGCAGCCTCCCCAAGGACGCCCCTGGGAAGCCCCCCGTGGCGCCCCCTCCTAAGGAACTTCCTGGCAGAGAGAGCATCAAGATACCCCCCGGCGAGGGCCCCGGTCACCGGGCTGACGGCAGTCCCCCTGAAAAGGAGCCTGGTGGGGCCAGGCCGCCCCCTAAGACCCACCGGAAAATGGCCCGTGAGTAGTCGTGGTTTGGGGGGTCAGGAAGGTAGAGTGGGGACTCATTCTCTGTCACTGGACCTGATGGCGAGGGGGCAGAAAGAAGAGGGCCTGCCGTCGCAGGTGCCCAGGTGCCGGAGCCGCTGGCCACTCGACGTGGGCGCGTTTGACCTGCTTGCTCTCAGGAAAGCGTCCCTCCAGCCAGTCTCCCAACCGAGGCTAAAGGGCCTGTGCCCACGCCGGGCCATGACTCTGCCTCACCTTGGGCTGCTGACTGCCTTGTCGCCCCTAGACCCGGCACCGGGCGCCTCCCACAGCCGGACCCCTGGCACCCAGATGTCTGTGGCTGCTCCTGTGTTTTGATATGTGTTGCCCTGTTTGGGGCTTGGCGTCCCATAAGGAGTGCCTGGGCTGCGGACCGGGCCGGGAGGGGTCTTGGGCAGCAGAGAGCTGCTGGTGTGGAGATGTTTCTCCAGACGCTGCCGCCTTGCACTGAGGGGCAGGGGGCTCTATGCCTGAGGACCCTGAGCTCCCCCTGGAAATGCCCTTGAGACTCACTGG